GTTTGCTCACACTGTTTTAATTGGACCGACTGCAAGATATCATTAAATTTAGCTGGATGTGGAACCAATGATAAGGTTCCACGCCAGTATTAAATTGATGGGACCTGCATCTTTTATAGTAGGATCCATAAATTTTTTATCGCATAAAGCCTCATCATTGATTCCACAACCCACCGAACAGCTAAAGTGTTCGGCTAATCCCAATTTCAAGAAACCAAGGGTCATGAAAAATACAAGTACTCCAGCCATTTCCAATAACCCATCATCTCCTCACCAAAGTGATGTCTTACATCCAGAATGCTCGACCGAAGTCCAGAGCACCCTGACTTCCTTTTAACCACCCAAAAAGAACCATGGTTCCAGTACTTCAACTGTAGGATATCTCTCCATAATCCTTCTTTTGTTAGTAACCTCTAGACCAATTTCACGGTGAGAGCAAAACGCCCAGGAACATGGCATTAAAGACCTATGTTTGGTCAACGAGAAGGGGCAAAAAGACAGACCCACCAACAGGAGCAAAACGCCCAGGAACAACCAGACGCTGCAGCTATGGAGGAGCAAAACACCCAGAACCAGAGAAGATCCTCTGAATTGGGCTCTAAGTTCCCCCAATCAAACCCCGTTGGAGGTGGTGATGGTGAATGAGAACGCCCAAGCATAGAACGCCCATCTGAATCGGGTTCCAAGTTCCCCCAATCAAACCCCGTTGGAGGTGGTGATGGTGAATGAGAACGCCCAAGCATAGAACGCCCATCTGAATCGGGTTCCAAGTTCCCCCAATCAAACCCTGTTGGTGGTGGTGGTGAAGGAGAACACCCATCTCAATCGGCCTCCAAATTCCTCCAATCAAACCCCGTCGGAGGTGGTAGCGGTGAAGGAGAACGCCCATCTGGATTTGCTCTGATGCCACCGATAGACAACCACCTGTTGTTTGGAGAGAAGAAGAAGAGAGAGAGAAGGAGAAGAAGAAGAAGGAGAGGTGGAGAAAGAGAGATGTAATAAATACATCGATTATCGATGTAATTAATGGTAGACATGTAATTTTCGGTGTAAAATTACATGTCTACCAAATGTCTGCAAAATCGAACCGGGGTATAAAGTTTACCCCGGTTCGATTTTACACCTCAGCCTAATAGAATAATATATGATTGAGTTTGATTCTCATACTACCCATGAAATACCTTTTCACTTCACCGGCAAACAAAGCCTTAGCCTTAAAACGTCGTTTGCAACAATAAAGACATAATAGGGACACAGGACAGCGTTGGGAAAGTCCGTGATAGAGAGAGAGAGAGTTCATGTAATATTTTTGACTTTTGAAAAGCAAAACCATACCTATTAGCAAAATCCCACTTAGATTTCAGGACTAAATAATTATGATTAAAAAAGGGAAAAGATTAGAATATATGAAACACTCGCCAACCAATCCTCTGTTACCTACTACTAATCACTAGTGACCTATAATGGTGATCTAGACATTTCTGATAGAAGAGAATCTGATACGACGCATGGGGCCGAGTGTGCTTCCAGATTTGCTCAAACACCGGGCCCTAAAGACAATTATATACGTTTGGATCTTGTCTTTTTTCTCCTGCTTTTATCATGGTCGTATGCTCATCCGTGAAGGATTCTAAGATTTTAACTTGGTCATTAGTTTTTAATTTTGCTTGTCATAATTATATACGTTTTGATTCTTGATTAAATTTTTTCTTCTTAGTAGATGTTTATTAATAAATAATGGAATTGATTATTAAAATTTATATAATAATGAATATTAAAACAAATTATAATGATTTTTTTTTGTAAATTATATATGCATACACATTTCAGCTCTCATTTTTTCAATGTTTACCAATTGTCTTACAATCTAACACTTCATATAAACCATCAAAATATGACCTTTTATATTTAAATAACTTATATATAATCATATAAAACTTATATTTATCATTATTAATATATTTATATTGATTTGTTTAAATTTCTTAACATATAAATAAGAAATTGTCTTGATTTTTCACCAGTATCTATGGATATCAAAACATATCTCAATGTCACAAAATTGTCTTTCTCATACATATACTTTTAACCTTGATATTTTGCTTATAACAACCCCACTCATTAGCTACCAACGAGATAGGATCAACAGGCTATAGGACCAATTATAACGCTCCACACCAGACTTTTAATACATGGGGCCCACAACCATTCAGCCCCTCACTGTGGGCTTAGTGTTGTGTTATCATTGGTTCATTGGTTCCACAGCCAACAACACAGCTAACGCATTCAACTAAACCGAATTAGCTACCACTACCAAGTTAACATCCCTGTAGTTGCATTTGGCATTACTCATTTTTAAATACTTATCTCCTTTTACCAGTTAAAAACTCAGTGTTCATAAGAGAATTTCAACTGCAAAAAGGAGATAAATCTAAGCAGCTTAATTCAAAAACAGACCAACAAATGAAGGAATGCTGACTACAATCATTTTTTCAAAAGCCTGCTGACTAGGATCATTAATAACTTTAATATCAGAGCAAATATAAAAGCATTCAAATGAAGATTGAAATTCTCACGTAAATATAATGCCTTTAGGAACCTTGAACGCTTGACCCTGTGATCTACCTAAGAACTACTGGTTTCGCTGCATGTCTATCTTTTCTCGTCAAATTGGTGTAAAACTAGGAAAACTACGGAAAGCAGTACAGTCTGTCATTCTAAACAATACTTGACATGTATTTTGCGATAAGGTCTAATAGGAACTGTTCACACTAATACTTAATTTTTGAAGCCTAACCAGGCTAACTGTTCACACTAATACAACAACGTCTACCCATTCTCTTGGGAAATCAAGCATATGTAATTGGAATTCCTAAAGGCGTCCACTGCAAATGGAATTGAAGGGAGTGATTATGAGATCTTCTGGGTGGGAAAAAAGCTCATTAATTGCTGTCAATGCGCAATTACATCTACTATTGACTTAGGAAACATAAGTGAGAGTGTATTAGTCGCCTGGGTGGTGGAGCATTGACCAAACAAACTAGCTTTTCTCGCAGAGCAGTCAGCAGTTTAGTGGGTGGGTGGAGTCGTGGGACCAATCACCAATATCATGGGAATAGAATCGGAACACCGGGCACCCACTTCCTTTCCTTTTGTAACAGTAGATATGCATTTATGAAACAAAAATAAAAGTGGAAGTGCAACACTTCGACGTCATTAGGCATCCGTAATGATGTGATTTTGACAAGATGGAAATGTAGCTCATACATGATCCATCATTTACGCTGAAAGTATCTCCATGAAGAAAACATGGACCATAGTCTCAACCATTTGTTTTGCCAACCATCGAATTTCCTCTCACAAGTTGAAGCTGCAGTATCCAACAGAATGTGAGATATATCACTTAGAGAGCAAAGTAGCCGAGGTACTGGATTAAACAAATAGCAAATCCAATTGTCAAATAAAAATTGCAGCAAAAAAAAAATGTCAAGTAAAAAGCAAAACAATTAGTTATGACCTTAATCCTAGAAATTGCTCAATCCAATAAAACTTATTTAAAGATCACAAATCAAATGAAAAATAGACATCAAAAGAATTTCTCTAGAAATATTAATGTAAACTACACATCTGCAAGTAGAAATATATATTTACCAGTATTTGCAGTTTTGTACAGGATGTGTATGGGTATCAGGTATAAATATGTTTGATTTGCACAATAACCATAATTTGGAATCAAAGTGTATTTAGGCGCACACTGTGCATGTGCACCTAAACATTGGACTTTCCAAAATCTAGGCTGAGGGAAGAAAAACTATAGAGCCAAATACCTGAAAAGGTATTGGACTCTATGGGAAGAAAGAAACTCACGAATATTTTCAGACAAGGAAAGAACCATCGGAAGCTTATTGGATCTAATTCTGTGAAGGGTGGCACATTGGTTGAAAACTATGGAACTGTTCTCAGATTATTTTGTGGCTGATTTGGTGAGAAATTGGAAGGAGATAGCTTCCTCTGCCCTCTGTAAGAGAAGCTGTAGTCCTCTGCGGTCCCCTCCTCCTTCTGGGTTCATAAAACTGAATTTTGATGGCAGCTGTTTAAGGAACCCGAGGCCTTCTGGGATTGGGAGAGTATTCAGGAATGAGGTGGGGGCTATTATTGCTATGTTTTAAGGCCAATTGAGGAAGGAGACTCTCTTAGGGCTGAGATCCTCGCAGCCCTGGAAGGCATCCAAAGAGCAAGGGAGCTGAACATCAGATGTTTGGTCCTTGAAGGTGACTTGGAGGTGGTGATTAGGTAGCTAAAAGGGGGAGACAGCAGCTTATGGAGTTACAACAATGAGAAGAATAAATTTAAATGGCTGAGTAGGGATATGGTGGTTCATTACAACTGGGTGAAGAGGACTGCTAATTCCTTTGCTGATGGGTTAGCAAAGCAAGGGGTGAATAGGGATTCGATTTTTTGGGCTAATTTTTTATTTTTCCTTGTACTCTTTGATGGAGAGTTAAGTCTTTTTACCTCCCCTTTGTACCTAAACTTCACATAGTTTCATATCTTTAATAAAGTTTCTTGTTATTGATCAAAAAAAAAACCTGAAAAGGTAGAACCACAGGTTCCCCTGCCAATTTAGATTATCACTAATATCTTGGTCCAACTGACCATGTATAACACAGTCTGATCTTTTACATGGTCTTTGTTACAAAAAAAAAAAAATAGATTTTAATATCCTAAAGGTTGCCAAAGATCACTTGATCTTTCCTATATTAACAGTTGTGGAAATAGATCATTCATCATCTTTGTCTTTTGGAACAATGATCTTAAAGGCCAAGAAAAAAGTCTCTGGGGTTGATAAATCCTACAACTGTAAAATATCAGTATAAATTGAAATAACCTTTCAAAAATATCTATTAATTATTACTAATAATTCTTATATTCTGATCTGAGAGGACTTTATATATAACAAGTGAAAACAACATGCCCAAATATTATTGGATAAGGGAATCTCAAAATAAAAGGCTTGTGCTATTTAAGTTGACATTAATACAGTGGTGGGAGAAAGATAAACACCAGTGATGACATTAAATAATAGTAGCACCATTATGGAAATGATTAGCCTCAAGTAAGTAGTTTTATTCTTTATATTCATCTTGGCAAATGCTACATGGAGAATTCTGAGTGGCATTTCCACTGGAAAAAACTTGCTTCCTACTAAAAAAGGGAGACAGCAACTTTGACAACTTTATTGCACATACCAATTTCTGACATTAGGAAAGATGAAGCCAACCAGACACAAGCCCCAAATAAGTTGCTCCTTTGTTCGATACATCCTGACAAATGTTACACTAATTCAAGAGCTGAATATTGGACAATAGCATTCATACAGGAAAGACTTATTTCCTACCAAATAGCAGAGTTCTAGAGGCATTTCCCATCCTCATTGCCCCCATTAAAATCTTCTCTTGGCCTTTGTTTAATGGTAGTCCAAGCTGTTTTGTGGAAAAAATGGAAGAGAGGAATAGAAGAATTCTGAAAAGAAGATGAGAGATGAAAGGTGTTATATGCTAACAAACAGTCCCTTCTCTTAGATAGGTTTTGGTTCATCGTGAATTTGAGGATGATCAGAAAGCTACTCTTGGCAATGACATTTGCTCCATCTTAGACCTAGTATTATAAGATCTATAATCTTGCTGATTTTGCATGGTCCCCTATTTGAGGCACTTATTTCATTTTGCATCAAATCATTCTCTCTATACTCTTATATCCTTGCAAGTTCTCTTCTGCTTTTAACAAAATGCTTACATTACTATCAAAAGAAAAAAAAAATCAAAAGAACGAAGAAGCAGACTAAACTCTAGCATAAGGACGACCCAGGGGTAAACTACACTCTACTCTTCAGACACTGGATGAAACAACCTAAGAGATTGTATAACAACCTCCTTAGCTGAATAACTTACTAAGAAAATCTCATAGAACAGTGAAAACTGGCCAAAAATACACCATTCTTGTCAATGCAAGGATAAGAAACCAGTACTCGGTAGTAACACTCATGCCTTGACAGCCACAGTCCATAGGATGGCCTCTTTTAGTGACTGCACTCCTGCTAAGAAAAGGAAGGACTCAATATGATAAAGATAAAGCAGAGATCTTCGAGAACCTTTCCCATCCATATAAATGACCAGAAAATTCCCAAAAAATTGAACAGTTCAAGAATGAATATCATTGCACCCAAACTCAAGTTTGTTGTCTCAGTACAAAATCCTCTAACTCAAGTTTTTCAGCAAGTAGCAAACATCCTTTAAACTAATAAAAGCCAGGACATAGACTATAGTAACTGATAAATGGTTGCTAAAGATTGATAAAAAAAGAGTTGCTAAAGCAACAATTTTCACTTTCAGAAACCAGTCAAAATATTTTCCAAGACAGCATTAAGTATCCTAGAAGCATAGGGAACTCAATAATGAAAGTAAACTAGCACAACAAAGCAAAAGTATTACTATTTTTAGCAACCATAAGGCTAGAAAGCATGATAGTTCATCAATGTAATCTAACCATTGATGCAAAGAGATGGCCATTTTAAGAAAATAGAGATTGCTATGGTCTTAGAGCAGAAAGGAGAAATCAGATTCATGCTGCTGCACTACGTAGGTGGAATTACTAACTTGACTTACTTGGCTTTCTTATGCAGTCCAAAATGTGTGTGTGTGTGTGTGCACATGTGCGTGTGTTTGTTAAAATTGTAAGATTAACACAACTAAAACACTAACAAAATCAACAATAGACAGGACTTGTTTCATACATACAGAACAAAGAGTTTAACTTGCAAGAACCATCAGTGTGCCACCCACATGGCCAAATGAATCAAGTTCTAGCAATATTATAGGTATATGGATAAATATTTTAATAAGCAGAAATCATAAATGTAATGCAAGCAATTAAACAGTATAAGATGCATCGAATAGTATAGGGCCATGATGCCATTGAAGAAGGAAAGCGTAAAATAAAGACCACTATTTCAGAAGCAGAGCACTATATATCCCACCTCACTTATCAAATTCTACCATGGTAGATCCTGTAGTAACTCTAGGGCTTGAACATAAAGACTGCATGATTTTACTTTCTTCAAAACATTGCGGTGCCTTGAACTCATTGCACTTCCATACTGATATAGCTTCAACTGAATTCTCATCTTGAATGTGAGGTTCCACAACAAATAAAGGAACATTCCTCAAATCACATTTATCCTCGGGCTCTCCTCCTAATGGGACACCTTTAGATTCTATATCTTTGAGATTTTCACGATCTTTAATGGTGCATAGGCTTAAAGATAGCTTCTTTTGCTTAATTCTTCCCCTCTTTCTACGGCAGGTACTTTTATCTTCTAAAGTTCTCCAGTTTTTCTCCTTTGCATAATTAGCTTGTGCTTCCCCATCAGTTGGAAATGTATCCATCTCTGAACAGATGGCTTTAGTGCATTCAGAAGTATAAACATCTAGCTTATCCACCTCCAAGGTAGATCCTTCATTGTCCACCTCACTTTCTCCAGAATTCCTGTCACATGTAGGTGGGTTTCTATCCGGATGCATGCCTCCATTGGATAACCTTGTCTTTTCTAAATTGGACTGTTTTCCGTGGTTGTTATGGTTGTGAGCTTTCCAGTCAGAACTTAGAGAATTTTTCGAAATTCTGGGGGAACTATTCATAGCTCGATGCAATTGACGAGCCAATTCTTCATCAGTTTCACAATACTCAACCGGCTGGTGGTTCTTATACAACAGGTTAACTGGGACATGTTTCTTTGGCTTGTTACTTCTCAAGCATTTCTCTTTGCAAGCTGTCTTCTCAGAAACAGAAGCAACTAACTCAAGGGCACTCTTGGCGGCAGCAGCCGCCTTGGCAGCCACAGCTGCCTTCTCTTCTGCTGCAGCTTTGGCTGCAGCTGCAACCTTGGCTGCAGCTAGAGCTGCTGATCTGGAGGCGTCCACGATCTCCTCAGGTGAAAGACATAATTTCTTAGAATCAGAACTCAAGAGATTACGAAGACGGGTACTGAAATCATTAGAAATGGACGAAAAAGATGACGGAGGAGAAGTGCATTCGAGAGACTGCTTTTTCAACCCGGCAAGGAGACGCTTTCGAGGAGGTAAACGGACATCAGTATCCAATTGATTGATATCAGATACGTTAAACTCTTCCATTTCCTTTAAATCACTACGCTCGCTCTAACACAATCAGGTTATTCCTCACAGAGCTCAAAGAGATGATCAAACTCCATTTCTCCTAAATCAAAGAAAAACGAAACAAAAAAAAAACAATAAGAAAGATGAATTTATTATAATTTATCAAAAAAAAAAAGATGAATTTATCATATGGTATAAATTTCACAAGTTTGAAAATTAAGCCAATTTTGCACTTCCTTCAACCGATATCCAAATATCATAATCGATTTGTTTCCAAAAAACATGAGTATTTGGGCTAGCAATTAATATAGTGTGAACCCTAAAACGTCATTTCTTCCATAAGGAACTAAATTCAAGCAACAGCAGAATCCAAACGTACCATGCAGAGGACCAGACTGGAACTCAATATAAGCAGATAAAGTACGCAGGCTGTCGAAAAAGAGAAACCAAAATCAGGATCAACCTATTTACACGCTCTTACGTGCTCGATTTTCACAAATTCCTATAATCTACTCGAGGCCGGAGTTTTTTACAAATTCTAAACCACGATCGGCATAAACTGACCGAAATTGGACGCAGTTGAACGACAGAGAGAGAGTACCTGACGTCTGTAAGTTAGGGTTAGAGAGATCGTGAATCGAAACTTTGACGGGTTCTGTGAGCGTCGAAATTAAACAGAGCTACAGAAGTTCGACTGCAATCCACTAAGACCAAAATCTTCTGCAACAAAGAAAGAGGATTTCGACTGGTTCTGATTCTAGAAGCCCAAGGCCCCAGAATGCAAAAGTTATAATATTGGAAAATAAATAAAAGTGAGCCTGCTGTACCCATATGTGATATGCCCCTGGAAGTGAAATGTCTTAAATAGCCCTTGTTTTGTACAACTCAAATCCACTCTCGCTGTTACGAGTCAGGAGCTGCTCCTCATATTTCGCGCCTCACATCGACCTCACAGTATGTTTTGGCCATCCATCGGAGACATCTTCCGTATTTATATCTATTATTCATGCGAGATGCTACCAATTCAAGGTGGGATGTGACTGAGATTGGTGTGAGGCGCGCTTATAATTCCGCTGCTGCCCTGACACGTGTAAAAAAGTAAAAGCAATGGTGAAAGTAGATCTGTTGTTATTATCTTCGCGATGGTAGGATTAGCAATCCTCATGATACCTGGGACCACGGACAAGGTGGGACCGACGTAGCTTGTCGGATGATCACATGACACGCGGAGATATGCATGCTTCACAGAAGGTACATCCGCACGTGGAATAGTGCGTGAAGATTACTGGTTCACGCGCACGGTGCAGCGCTTCTCGCCTTCTCCTGTGAGAGCGTCATTTCGTTGGCCCTAAGCGTAACATTCATTCAGGCTCCGGCATGGTACTTGTTATTTACGTTGTCTTGTTCTTGTAGGATGTAGTATTGGAGTCCGGATCATTTGCCAACACATCACGTACCAATACTCTCCCAACGAGTTGGGATCTGATTTTCGTGAATAATAACTAATAAGGAAGATGTTTCTAATCCATGGTAGATATGCATGTAAGGCGCCAGTTGTGAGGAGCAGATCTGCTCTACCTTTCAACATTATCTTACAACATACATTTCATACACGGCCGCTCCCACTATTTTGATAGGTCCTAGTCACATGATGATGAGATGTGTCGGGTGTGGTGTTATTTAATGTCGTAAGGGAGTTAGGACGTTTTTTTGTTGGCAGGATATCCTAGATCACCTGCCAACAAAAATATTTCAACCCTCTCCTGATCTTACACCGCAATCTCATACAAGGTTTTTAAAATCGAATCGGATAACAAATCGTTTAGGGTCCAGTTCCCGGATCAAACAATCCGACCATTCAAACTAAAGAGAAGGCTTGTTCTAACAAAAGAAAATAAAAAAATAAAAAAAAGCCAAAAACCATTGGATGGTTCGAACGATTTGAACGGTTCAACCACTCAAGTCAGCGGTTTTGCTTACCAAATCAATGGTTTTTGGCCAAAAAGATAGTTTTTGGGTAAAACGGAACCAGTGACCATTTCTAGTTTTTTGGTTTAATCGCCCGATCCGGTCCAGTTTTGAAAACCATGCATGGCGGGTCCTACTATTATGGTGGGTCCTAGTCTCATGTTGAGATGTGTGGTGTTAGATCAGGTTAGTAGAGGGTTGGAATGCGTTTTGTTTGTAGAAAATCTCAACTCAATTCCGAGTATTATAGGGGATGAAAAAGAATAAATGTTGATCAGGGTTTTTCAAATTGTCTTTGACCTGGATAGTCAGATTGTTTGTTCAGCCCATAAGCTATCCATGCAATTGGTTTTGTTTCACCCTTGACCCGTTTGTTGATTCAAGTGTTTGAATTATCAATCCGTTTAATATTCTAAACAATGGTTTTGGCTCTTCTGTAATTAGAACTAGCGGAGACCCGTGTGATGCACGGGATTTATAAGCAAAAGATAAATAATATAAAGGGTCATTTACTAAAATACCCTATAGTTTCATGGATTTACTAAAATCTACCCTATAGTTAGCATTTTACTAAAACATCACTTATAATATGCAACGGATTTAATCAATCTTCCATTATATGATAGTGGAAAATGATAGCGTTGACCCTAACGTTCATTTAAATAAATTTAATCAAAAGAAAATAGAAATAAAAATACCATTTTTGCCCTTAATAAGACACGGGCATCCACTCTATTATCTATGTTTGGCCAATTTTGTTTTCTGTATAAAAAAGTGTTAAGGGTATTTACGGAATAAAAAATCAAGGGCCTAATGGCAAAACAAACACTCCTTAATGAAATGTTGATTAAGTAAATGAGTTGTAAAATATATGGGATGTTTTAGTAAAATGAAAATTATAAGGTAGGTTTAAGTAAATATGTAAAACTATGAGGTGTGTTCTAGTAAATGACCCTAACAGAAACACACAAGATTATACAATTGTTTTATATTTTCAACTTTTTGAATTATTAATAATTATTAATATTTTATATATTATTTTTAATATTTTTTATAATACAAAAATAACAATAATTAATTTCAATTAGGTTTAATCATCAAACTTATGAAATCGATCAACTCGAACCCGAGTTGGTCGATTTTCTACTATTTTTTGTCGCCTTTGGTTCAACAAATTCCCAATTCGACCAAGTTGGATCAGTTTCACTTTGGCCATTTGTAAATCGACCAAAATCGGACAACTTAACCATGGATATTAATATTTTATATTTTAAATATAATTTTAATATGAAAAGTGAGAAATTTCCCATATTTCTTAGTCTAAAATGTTTTATTTCATAAATCTATTTATTTTTTAATAATTGCACTGTAATTTTTAAAATTAAATTAAATTTGTAAGTTTAAATCTTTTGAATCGATTGATCTTTTGTGAAAACCAACCCAAATTGATACAATTTGAGTGGGTCGGTTTTTACAAAAGGTCAATCAGTTTTAGCTAACTAACTCCCCAACCTAACCAGGTCAATTTGGTTTACCAAATAGCATACAGCGGACCAAACCAACTCATGAACACTCATAGTTTTAGCTAAATTAAAAGTCTTATCTACGATAAATAACAATAGTTTAATCTCCAATAATTATTAAAAATTTGTAGCGAAAATGCATAATTATTGAAAATATATTGATAACGAAAAAATACAATAATTACAAAAATGCAATAAGTATTAAAAATATATTAGCTTAGTCAATAAATAGTATAATCTCAAATAATAGTTTAATTTCTAATAAATATTAATTAATCAATAAGTTATAACAAAAATACAATAAATACAATAAGTACAACAAATTAAATTTAAAAAATTCAATAATAGTAGTTTAATCTTCAATAATTATTGAAAGTTTTTTTGTTAAATAACAAAACAAAATAAATTTATACATAATCATTGAAAATACATTTATCACAAAAAGCAACAAATATTAATTTTAGCATATATATAATTATATAATAAATACAGATTAAGAGTTTAAAATTTTTATTAATAAATATTAATCTTTTTGAAAGCTATTTTCTCGAATTATTACTTGTTATATGTGAAATTAGTTATTTACAATATTATGTAAAAATATTAAATTATTATTAATTTCAATATTATGTTATAATTACTTTTCTACTTTTCAATTTTTTTTAAATTTATTTATTTTAACTATTTAAAATCTAGTTATGTTAAATATTTTGTTATTTAAATACTTAAATAATATGTAAAATATTTAAGTTTTAAAATATTAATTATTTATTGAATTTAATTATCCATAAATCACAATTTATACTATTATTACATAATTTCATTATTAATTTTGTAATATATTAAATTATTATTAATTTCAATATTATGTTATAACTATTTTTCTACTTTTCAATTTTTTTAAAATTATTACATAATTTATTTATTTTAATTATTTAAAATCTAGTTATGTTAAATATTTTGTTATTTAAATACTTAAATAATATGTAAAATATTTAAGTTTTAAAATAATAATTATTTATTGAATTTAATTATCCATAAAATCATAATTTATACTATTATTACATAATTTCATTATTATTTTTGTAATATATTAAATTCTTATTTATTTCAATATTATGTTACAATTATTTTTCTACTTTGAAGAATTTTTTTAAATTCATTACATAATTCTGTTATTTTAACTATTTAAAATCTAGTTATGGTAAATATTTAAATAATCTACAAAATATTTAAATTTTTTTGTTATTTGAATTTTATTTATTTAAAGATATTACAAATTATTAAATATTTGAAAAACATTTAAATTGATAATCTGGACAAACATAATATAAATTGTTAGTACATAATTTCATGATATATTTTGTAAAATTATAAAATTATTTTTTTGTGTTTTTAATAAATATTTTAAAGTTATTATATAATTTTGTTATAATATTTAAATAATTCTTATATTTTTTAATCCAAACTTTTTTAGATAGATATAGATAAAAAGTAGGGGAGATGATACATAGGAATTAGAGATAACTTAGAAGATAAATAGGAATTAAAGATAATTTTGGAGAATGTGGGGGATAGTGGGGGAGGTAGTTTAGGAGAAGAGATTATTTAGGTTGTGGGAAAGTGCATCTCATTAGTTGTCTCAAAAATGGCATGGAATAAAAAAATAAAAAATGATAAAATTTCTTCACTACCTTGTTTTAATAGATAGATAGATAGATAGGTCATCCCTTCAAACTAGACAATTGAACCTGATGTGGGGTAATTTGGCCCGACCAATGGCATGATGACATGTGGAGTGACCCATTGACTTTGCGACACTTTAGCATCCTCATACACCTCAGCAGTCCTAGTCACCTTGGGTCACTCATCCAAGACTGGGCCCCGAGCAACTCGCCACGCTCACCAACCTGTCGAGGTGCCACGTAGCCTCCATCTAGAAGTGAGCCAGTTGTCTCCAATATCCTCGAGATCACACCGCACCAATGGATCTTATCTTCACCGCGCTCGAATCAGACGGACTTGGATAAGCCTTATCAGCTTACTCAGAGTCCATCTTTGGGTGTAGAACTGACTTCGGGTTAGACGGGTCGGTGATCTCAGACACGCATCGTGAGGCCCACAACAGCTCGCCTATATAAAGGCCTCGCCTCCAGCCTCACAAGGTACACATGATTCAGCTCTCACATACTTTGCTTTTCTAGCATTCTAATTCTCTCTAAAACCCATAACTCGTTGACTTAAGAATCAGAGTGCCTGCCCAGGGTAAAGTAACCCAGGCACTCTAATACTATTTCCCTGCAAGTCTTC